AGTTCAAAATCTTGTAAGCAAAGTTTTAATTTCTGTATTTTGTGTTATTATGACTTCAAATATTTTACTTACAAAAGAAAAGTAAGTTTAGTTAATATTTAATTTAGCGTAAAATTTTATTTATATTGTTTAATGATTTCTTATATTTACGCGAACACTACACATTGAATAAAAATAATTTTTTATGGATTTTATCGCGTTTAATTAACTTATTTTATATTCCCGACGTTTCGGTTGCTTTCCAGCAACCATGGTCACGGGGCCTGCGGAGCGGCTAAAATCCGTAAAAAAGTAGTTTTATTCAATATACTTATTGTTTAATATTTAATTGTTTCATTCTTTATTTGATTAGTATTTTAAAAAGGTAAGTCAATATTACTTGATTTTTTTAAAAAAGTGAATACTACTACGTGGTATGCTCCAAAATAATTTTCGGTGGAAGATGTATTTATCTATCTCTATTACACAGAGAACTGAATGCGCGTTGCGCGCCTTTCCCTTTTCCGGCAAGCATCTCAGCGCAGCTGTTATAGTGCATCCAGTGCATCCTTCCCTACCGCACATAATAATATATAATATAGTGTTCTCTGTCACGCTCTACTTTAAATTAAAATTATTGAAACGTTAAATCGTGTCAACCACTAGTCTTGCCACGATTTGAAAAGTCAACCATATACCTATCTACCATTGGATTCGCAATAAAAATATATATATTTAAACATTTAATTTTTTATAAAAAAAAAGAGGGTAAATTACTATATCAGTTTACCTGTTTATACCTGGTAGAGAGGTGTAGTTGCATGGAAAAAGATAGTCAACCATGCTATGGCATTTACTATATATTATTATTTTTTCGATTGAGACCAATTTAACCAAGGAAAAGAATGACCATAACCGGTAAAAAAATTAATTAAATAATTTTTAATTAAAAATTGCCTTGCCAAAAACAGGCTGTCAATCACCCCGATTTGTATTGATTTATATATTTTATTAAAAAAATATTTCATCGAGAAAAAAAAAGAGGAGGTATTTTTTTTACCGCATCTCAGACTATGTGCCGTTTTTCATTTATTTAAAAATATCGTTACCCTCTTGGAATTTCTTCTCTTTGGACAAAAACTTGTATTTGTTTACGTCCATACAGGAATCAAACCCCTGGCCCTTAGCGCTATAGCCATTGCTTAGCCAGTACGCTATGGAGCCGTAGTTTGCTAGGCGTCACTACGCTTCGCTGGCATTCGCTCGTAAGTGTACACTTAATACCGGGTTTCCACGCTTGCCAAGTCTCGGCAAGCATCCACAAGCACAAGTGTGTAAAGAGGGCGTTTGGCTTTGCTTGCGTGAGCTTGTGGACGCTTGTCCCCGATCCGGGCTAGTTTCGGTTTTTGGACACAGTTCAAAGGGCGCTTGCGGCAAGCGCTTGCAACGCATTCACACGTTGGTGCGCGTTTAGTAAATAGTAACCATTGTGATTTTGCGACGAGCGCATGTTTAGTTCTTTGTTCTAGAAAGTTGCAAATGCTTGGAGTCGTCTTGCCGAGTTAACGGGAAAGCCAGTAAAAGAATTAAAAGCCAAAAAATTCCTTGTTTTTGTATTTCAAATAAAAGTATGTTAAACCAAACGCAATAGCCGACACAAGTTCGGTGTCCGCCATGCTTGGATATACGTAGCACACTGACGCATTCACAAGCATGTAAACAACTTCCAAACGCCAAACGAGATTTGTGGACGCTTGGGGCTTGAAGACGTTTGCCGAGGCTTGGCAAGCGTGGAAAGGCACCATAACAGTTATCAACAAAGACAAGCCAGCGAGCGGTTATCATCAAAGAATACCTATCTTGCCTCCGTTCGGTTAGTCTGTACCCGACCACTTTTCTTTATATTTACTTGTAACTTTTAGACGCGGCTCTGATGGCGTACCGGTTCAGTGCGGGTGGTACGCCAGGCGTGCCATCAATGCGTCTTTTTAAAAATAGTTATACCTCGCTCAAATTACTTTTTGGGAAAATTTATCCAGAACAAAATATTCATTATTTTGCAAGTAGTTCATGCCTGCAGCTTCGTTTCTGGATATTTTGAAAATTTGAAATTTTTAGGGGTTGACAACTTTTTTTTAACTTGTACATGGTCTCTTTTTACTTTGTCGGTTTTAAATCACGTTTTGGAAAAATAGTCTAATAAGTAACAAATATTAGCACACATTGCGATCGCTCACAAACTCAAGTTGTAAATAAATTTCTGGAAAACAAGTCTCCTGTTAAAAAAAACAATGCGTTGTCTTATTGTTTATTTTTGCTTAAAATGGTTGAACTGCCGTCTTATTACTATCATATGGCCGAATAGACCTACGAAGTACCATATGCTTTTGTGATATGGTATAAGGTTTATTTGAAACAGTTCGAAACCGTTCTTGCATAAAAAAAAGTTAATAAATAGTCATTTGTCAATCCGCGGTCCGGCGTTTTTTTCCTTTTGAAAACACTTGCTATTCTTACTAATTAGACGTTTTCAGATCGACTTTACTTTTGCATTTGTATAACATTAAATAATATTTAATATTTGTAAATATCAATGAATCATAAACCTTATTTTTTTCCAAATTAAGGTTCTTTATTGTTTGATATTTACAAATGTTTTTATTAGGTGAAAATTTAATTTAATAAAACCAAGATTTTTCATGGTCATTTAGCTGTACCTACTTATATAAATTATTTTTTTATAAAACAAAAAATAGTACAAAAGGTTTGTAATCTCTGCATAAAAAAAGTCACTTACTCTCAATTTTAAAGAAAACACTAGAAAAACACATATTTACCCACTAAAAACAAGTATCCTTCCGTTTGCAACTGATGTTTTATGTCAACTGAACTTAATTAGGTCTAAACAAGTGAAAAAAGCTCGACACGTCAGGCGTGTCACGAAATATTTGTTCGCCGCCACAGCTAAAAGTTGTCGAAAATCGGCGCCGCAACGAATGGATTATTTAATAGCCGACGGATTATTTATGAACTAATTTTAACTAAAAAATAACAATAAAAGTTTGTAAGTTATTTTTTTATCACTTTTGAGTGGAATAGGAAGGAATATCACAACCTCAATGTTTAAATAGTTATTAAAAACTCCATACCATATTTTGTCACCCTTAGAGGTTGAATTGTAAACCTCCATTTTTAAAGTTGGCTAATAAAATACTGGTCATGAGTCATGAATCATATAAATTTTATCATAGTACCTATCATAGATATAGTATCCACTAAATCTATGGTACCTATCATACATCTATAATATAAAAATGAATCGCTGAATGTATTGCTAAGCGCAAATCTCGAGAACAACTGAACCGATTTCGTTAATTCTTTTTTATAATATTCCTTGAAATACGAAGATGGTTCCTACGGAGAGAAAAATTTAAAAAATTGCCTGAAAACGTCTAAAAACAACACTTTTCTATATTCCCATACAAAAGATTCGTATTAATACTTAAAAGTCAATTTGAACTTTAATACATAACCATAAAGTTTAAGTGTTAGTAGAGGGGTTCCGGGCAGGCAAAACAATTGAGTAACGTTAGTATCGTATAAATATTAATGTCAATATTAGTCAATATTTATACCATGGTAACATTACTCACGAACATAATTAGGGTTCCGCGCAAAAAAATTGATATCCATCAAATCGTAGTAAATTCCAAACGGGCGAAGGCGCGGGGCACAACTAGTTTAATACAATAAAAATAGAGATAGAATTGATTTATTTTTTTATGCTGAAATACAGGTTTTGGCCTAGTTCGGCAATGGATGCTATTTTTCATGTTATAAGATGAAATATTCCTATGTAGTTTATAAGTAGACATATTGTTAACTGATATATATATGGAAAATAAAGATTAAAGATTTATTTATCTTGCTTGTCTTGGCTTGGATGCTTGTCTTTTAAGCCACTTTTTTATAGTACACTGCTTCACAATATGTCGGTCGATGCTTCTCATTGCGTATTTTTCGGGAGATTTTGACGGCAATTTCAGCCAACAGACAGCTGGCGATAGCACCATAAATAGTATCTCAAGGCGCGTAAACAGCCAGACTCCTTATCTTGAGATTCACAGCACCATTGGAGCACTTGTTTCACCATTTCCACTAATAGTTCATATGTGCAAACATTTCATACACAAAATCGCACCACTTTTTATCAAAATTTGAAGATTTTTTAAAGATTGTGTCCACAGCTGGATATGGGTTTTTGATGTTGTAGAAAGATTTTGTCTTTAATAGTCACACTTGTCAGGCATTCAGTGTATCAAATGTCTCATACCTTTGACGTTGCTGTGATACTGGATGTTTATTTTGTCTGTCGTAATTGAAATTATTATATTATACCATCATCTATCACAATTCATGAAGTCTTCTCCGGCCTTTTCCATAGTCGTCTCTTTAGACACCTGAAGGACGAAATGGAATAATGGATACAAAATGCTGCCACCACATGGCTTTTCTTAATATTTAATACTAGCGATCCGCCCTGGCTTCACAAGTTCTCTGGATCTCGACAACAACGCCACCTAACAGGTCCAATTGTGAATCTAAACCATGCTCTAATCAACTTAATCATGCATGTATTATACATATAAAGTCCCTCTTGAACCATTCAGTCTATTGAAAACTAAATCAAATAATTAATATAGCATAGTTTTAAAGATCTAACCGTACAGACAGACATATTTAATATTAATATAGGTATAAATAGGAAAAATATAAACAATATAATACAAAATTTTATTTATATTGTAGTTATGAATTATGATTAACAATAGAACTAACAGCACAATTTAATATAAAATTTAATGAAAAAATTATGTAAATACATCAAGGGTTCATCTTTTGTAGACATTGTAAGATTATCTACATATTACTATAAAACAATTACAGATTTATACTTCGTTCTGTGTAATATGTCCATCCCAATTAGACAGTTTTTTATGTCTGGTCTTCACCAACATCTGCTATCCCAACAGCAATTTAAATATAATTGTGAGTATATTTAAAATAATCAATGGAACTGAAACAAAAAGTATGTGATTGTAAAAAATTTCATAAATAAACGTGTGCATGTACTTATATATGCACGTAGGAAGTAATGCTTCTTTAGGGTAACAAATCAAAAATAGCTACCTTAAATATAGTTTAGCTGTCGGTGTGCAAAAAAATTCACTCTCATATTTCCCAAACGCCCCAAAAGAAGTATAATTTCAATAATGATTGAAATGAAATAAAATACATTTATTGCTCAACATAAAAAAATAAAATTTTGTTTTTCGAATGTCCTTTTTTTCTCTTACTACTAGTTAAATGTAAACAAGGGTACTTACTTCTTGTAACTGTTCTAATAGATCTAACCAAGTTTAAAATTTGGTATTTAACTGATGAGTGGTCCTCAAAGCCTTGATTAGGAACATTTGAACCCCATCCCACTGTAACAAGAAACCATAGTTTATTGTTAAATTCTTATAAAAATGATAACTATACATCCTATTGGAAATATGTATGGGCCTGGCAAATGATGTCATGCAAATAGGGACTGGAACAGTTAGTCAATGATGTGGAGGTGTTTGACAAATTATTTTTTTGTAGGTAATACAAAGATACAAGATATGAAACTGCAGCAGCAGAAAAGTACTGCCAGCAGAACTAAAACTATCATGAATTAGAAAGACAAATAGTCAATCCCGCCTGGATGTATGCATGTACAAAATAACTATTCTCCTTCCATCTTCATTAGACTTTAATCATCCCTAGCTGAACAAGAAACTCTCTTACTGTAGGAGTAGGATTTGCCACAATTATCACACTAGGCAGGCAGAATAGCGATTGCAATATGAGATGTCTTGCAACAGTGATGATATTTCCAGTCTTGACCCAGGTAATTTACATCTGGCATAAATATACATATACCATCATTTTTTGAAGCTTTGAGATCTTGCTGTTTCTCGTGGCATAGCAATAAGTTACCCAAATTCTCATTAATGGACTTCTCAATATGTCTGAAATATTTTATTCTCTTATTTTCTCAGACATGAATATTTACTCACGACATTCTTCCCTAATCTCCTAGAATGTCGTAAATCAGCACTTAACATTGCAATTAACAAATTAATTTGGATTGGTAGACTTTAAACCATTGTTGCTCATGGTATTGGAAATTTAACGTGAGTGCTTAGCCCCTAGGTAACCACAGCTTTATTAAAGTGGTGATTATTTTTAAATTCACAATAATTTGGAACATTGGTAGCACTAATAAGTCAATTTTGTTTTTATGCTTTTACAAATTTATATTTTTCTCAAGACGTAATAGGGAAAGGGCTCGCAGCAGGACTGTAAAAACTACCGTGGTATCAGCTTGCTTAGCATTGTGGGTAAACTGTATGCTAAGGTGTTAATTGAAAGAGTTATGGAAGAAACTGATGGAAAAATTTGGTATGTGCAAGCTGGATTTAGAAAGGCGATGGGGTGTACGGATCAAGTCTTTTACATGTGCATGATAGCGGAGAAGTTTTTGGCAAATAACCAGAAAGTTTTTTGTGCGTTCATGGACTTGGAAAAGGCTTATAATAGATGGACAGGAATGTGTTATGGCTAACACTGAACTCATTTGGGTTGAGCGCTGGCTTGATACAGGCATTAAGGTCTCTTTATAGGAACTCTAGTGCTTGTGTCAGGATCAACGGGGTCTACTCATACTGGTTTGGCATTCTTAAAGGTGTCAGACATGGATGTGTGGCTTCCCCGTGGCTGTTCAACCTATTTATGGAAAGTTGTTTGAAAGTTGAAGAATGTGGGTTGAGAATGGGTGAGTTAACCGTCAAATGCCTTTTGTACGCCGATGATCAAGTCATATTTGCATCATCGGCGGCCGAGTTGCAAATGATGGTTACTTTAATGAATTGGTCATTGAAAGAAAGGGGTATGAAAGTGAACGCAAGTAAGACGAAAGTGATGGTTTTTGAAAGAGAAAAAAGTAAAACTTTATGTGAAATAAGAATAGAAGGAGAGTTGATTGAGCAAGTGGAAGAGTTTGTATATTTGGGATTTTTAATTAGCAGGGATGGTAGATATGATAGGGATATAGAACAACGAGTGAACATAAGAAATAGAGTGAATGGGGCTATACACGCTATTATGAAGAGTCAGAAGATGTCAAATAAGGCATGTATGGCAATTCATGAGGCTGTGTTAGTCCCTACTTTAATGTATGGTAGTGAAAGTTGGATATGGCAGAAGAAGCATGAGAGTAGAATAAATGCTGTAGAAATGAGGTCCTTAAGGAGTATGCTAGGGCAGAATCTGAATGACAGGGTGAGAAATAGTGTGATAAGAGAAAAGTGTGGTTTGCAAGATGATGTTGTGACAAGGATTAAGAAAGGAATGATTCGGTGGTTTGGTCATGTAGAAAGAATGAACGAGGAAAGAGTGACAAAGCAAATTTATGTTGCTGAAGTGAACGGCAGGGTCGGGAAGGGACACTCTAGACGAAGGTTTATCGACCAAATCGGCGATACATTAAAAATGGGCCAGATTAGGAGTACCCTTAACCGATGAGCGTGTATGCGTAGATATATGGATGTAAAGGAGGCGAATGAGATGTGTCAGGATCGCGCCAAATGGAAGTCCGTAGGTAGTCTCTCCCTACCCCTCTGGGTGATAGGCGTGAGTGTTTATGTATGTATGTATGTAAGTAATAGTTTGTAAGGAAGCTTAGCAGATTTGCTAAAACTAAAGAAAAATATATCAATTTAGGTTCATTGCCTTCATAAATTCTACAGAGTGAAATTAATTGTTGGGTCTAAAAAACCTAACCCCGGTCTTTAGGTTATATTGTTTACTTACTTTTCTGCATAAACCTCTCTTCATGTAGAACACAAACAGCGTTAAGGCAAAGTAAAGACGCTTCAAACAAGTTCCATAAAGTGAGCATTTTGTGTCAATTCAAAAATTAATAGTGGAATAGCGATTACTAAATAACGAATTTGATGATTTTTAATCGCTATCAAAACATTGAGCCAACAAGACACAACCACAATCACAAACTGCAAGCTGTGAGCCATAGACTAATATATAATACTGGAGACTGTGAGCTGCCGTCACCCGTCAGCTCAGTGACTGACAGGTGACAGCTAACCACAGAATACTTTACTCCTAGCGGAGACAGCTAACAGATAAAATGACGTCATTGCAGTGTTACCAACCCGAAGTTTGTCTCGGAGGTAGATAGGTATGATTTCAGAAGTTCAGAAGTTGGTCGTTTCTACCAATCGTAATAGTTAGTAGATCTACCACCTATTTTTTTTTAATTTCTAGAGACCTCCCAATAATAATGTGATACTCATAATTAATGCTTCTATTGGGTATCAAATATTTCAACTCTTTTTATAAGGTACCCCATGTGAAAGCAGGATCATTGATATTCAATTCACAAAATAAAACCCAAAAAAAATATCAAAAATTGAAAAACAAATCATGATAAGTTTAGTATGATTTAATAGTTTTTAATTATAAATATTCAATTCCTTTATTCGTATAAATAAACTTGACAAAGACAATTTATAGTAGTGATAATTGAGAATTCACTTGAGATTCTATGGTATATTATTATTAGAATCAATTAATGTAAAATCTTCAATACAATAATCTTGAGAGCAATTACTTTTAAATTTTTTTTTAGTAAAAAGTAGTTTAAGTTGCGAAATATTCATACATTTTCTTTTAATAAGGAAGTGCCGCCTCTTAAGCGTAGTGATTATATTCTCTCTGGTCCGACCATAAAGTAACGTCCTCTCTCTATTCTTTATTATATTCAATGAACACTCAGAATAACATAGAATATATTAGCACAGCGGTGACACTCTGTACGTGAGAGTTCAAGCGCCGGTGACATAAGCCGGAGCGTGTAACGTAACTTCTGCCAAAGAAGATACATAGTAAGTATATGTTATATAATGTAAAATTATGTATTTACACAGTGAAAGATACGATCAATTTTAAATCAACTTTTATTAAATATCTTTACAGATGGGGAAAATTAAAATTTCCGACAAAACAAAATATGCGCGACAGTTAATGGTATTCTTATTTTGGTATTCTAATAATTAACCAACACTTAGTATTTCAGTACGCAAAAATCAGTATTACCTACTACCCTTGAAAAATTACTTACTCTTATATATTTTTTGCATTTTCGATGACTTTTACAATTTTTATTATTATTTCTAACAATTGCAAAAATTCGTAGCCATATGTATAATTTTTTTTAGAAAATGCATAGGGAAGCATAGATAGATAGATAGATAACACTTTATTGTACACCAAAAAATAACATAAATATTAACAAAAACTGAGGAAAATAAATGTGGTACAATGGGTGGTCTTATCGCTAAGAGCGATCTTCCAGGCATCCTTTGGATGGACAGGATTGCAATAAAACAATGAAAACGTTTGGCGACAAAAATAACATTATTTTTAAAAACCAAAAAATAGAAATATATAAGGGTAGGGAAGTATATAGATAAGATAAATACATACATACATATTTATATATTATATGTATATATATATATATATATATATATATATATATATATATATACATATATATATATATATAAATATATAAAAGTACAAATATATACTTTAAAACTAAGATATATAATATAAATGTGCCATACGTATAAACAAATATTGTAGCTATAAATCAATAAAGGTAGAATAATTATATAGAAATGAATAGGCATTGTTTTTATGTAAAACGCAGTCAGTCTGTGCTTGCGTGCGGTGCGTGAGATTAGAGAGACGAAACGCGAATAAAAAAAGTACTCTGTGACGCAAACTACTACGTACTAGTCCTCGGCCAGGGCAGTCGTGACGGCCCGGAGGTCGATAGTGCAGTCTGATTTCCAGTGTGTCCTTAATGCCGGTGGGGAATACATACTGTTTGCGTAAGGGAAAGTGGCGCCGGAGTGTAATGCATGCCATACTATGCATTTGCAAGTGATGCCGGTGAGAACAATGAGCTGGAGCAAGTGCCAGAAGTCTGCTTTGTAAATCTACGGCGAGTCGAAATGAAGACAAGTTGGACTGGCTTGCAGGAGCTGCAGACTGCAGAAGACGATTCTTGGGAGTGAATAGTAGGGGTTCTTGAGGGTAATGACGAAGGCTTGAAGTTGTAGTTTCCAAAGGTTGTTGATTGCGTGTTCATATCTCGTCGGGGTCACCACTGTGGCCATAGGAAAGAAAAGGGGAGATCTCCCACCGGGCAAGGTGTTCTGCCCGGGGAGAGGCCAATGCTCCGAGTGGTAGTTCGGAGCTATTCTATATATACTGCTTTGACTTCGGAACTTTGATAGCGCAATTTAGGCTTCGATGTGTTTCACTTGTGACGCGACGACAGCGCCCCCACAATTTATTTTAGTATAAGGCACCAAAATTTCAGAAATAGAGAAACTACTAAAGAATTGAGAGTTGACATAAAAAAAGACTGAAGAGTCACTACAAATGTAGGAAAATAGAATTACGAATAAAACTATTCAAAAACTTGATCAAAAATTCCATTTCATACACGAAGACGTAGGAAAAATAAAAGAAACTAGCACATAACTAGAAAAAAGGATTTCTTATACAGAAAAATAAAATTCATATTCTTTCTATTCTCTACTGTGTATTATTTCATCCTTCTGCTCCTCCCTATCTAAAAGAGAAGTTTAATTTTGTGGGGCTTCCGGGGGAACCTCTACGCTCTTCTAGAAAATTAGTTTTAAGGGTACCAACTCACAAAACATCGTTTTTTAATAAATCATTCACTGTCGAGTCTATTAAGCTCTGGACTGCCCTACCTTTGCACATACGTGAAGCACAATCTATTGTAATTTTAAGCGACTACTTAAAGAACATTACTTGTCTCAATCGTCCGGAGACCGTTAGGATAATTATGTGATTATGTATTTATTGTATTTATCAGCTTTATATTATTGTTTGAGGAAATTTGTAATTTATTTATGTATTTTGGGTAGATATGTAAGTTTGTTTATATACTCTTATATATGTATGTTTATGTATATATTATATGCTTTAATTTATCTTTTATTATGTATTAGTAATTTATAACATTTCATGTGTTAGTTATTTATATGTTATTTTATTGCATTTATTGTCTATATATCGCATGTATTGATATCATATTTTGTATAATTATATTGCACCACCTACCCAGTATTCATTGTTTATTCCTTTACACCCTTGGTTGCCTGGAAGAGATCGCTATGTAGCGATAAGGCCGCCAAATTGTACATTTAACATGTCTATTGTTATGTAATTTGTTTATTAGTTTGTGGTGTACAATAAAGTATATTCATTCATTCATTCATTCAAAAATATACTAGACAAAGAAATATTATATTTTTTGGCGTAAAAGAAGAACAAAAATACTACGAAGAGTTAGAACGGAAAAATCTGCAAATAATAAAAGATGAGTTAAATATAGAATGCGACAGAAAATAATTATAGATGATTCGTCGGATGGGCAAGTACAATGAAAACAAAGTAAGACCTATTTTTGTAACTTTTACTACCTATGGCTGAAAAATCACAATACTGAAAAATAAAAAACTTATGAAGACAGAAGGAATTTATCTTAAAGAAGATTTTTCACCAGAAATCCTGAATAGGAAAAAAAGTTGATGGTACAACTTAAAAAAGATAAAGAAGCCGGGAAAAAAAGCCTATCTACGTTGCGACAAACTAATAGTCCAAGAACCATCAATAAAGAAGAAGAGTGAAACAGATGAAGAAGAACAAAAGGGCAATATTGTAGGCTAATGCTAGATAGCCTATACTATTCCACATGAATCTGGCTATTATATACAAAAAGAATTTTTCAAATCGGACTGGTAGTTCCAGAGATTAGCGCGTTTAAACAAACAAAAAAACAAAAAAACTCTTCCGCTTTATTATATTAAGTATAGATATAGATATCTACATGTGATGAATATCGACAAATTTACACAGATGGTTCAAAAGTTGAAAAAAAAAAATTGGCCTGTGCATTTTACATACCTCAACTGAAAACTGGACGTGGCCTTTCCATTCCTGCATTAGCAAGCATATACACTGCAGAATGTTATGCCGTCTTAATCGCTCTTAAATATATAGAAGAGCACCCATATGTATCTAATAAATGGTTACTGATCTCTGATAGCATGAGTGTCTTGAAGGCACTGAAGGCAAGAGCTTTAGATGCTAAAACGTCTTTCATCATATATGAAATCAAAAGTTTGTGGTGGAAATTGAAAGAAAATAATTTAGGAGTAAAATTTTTATGGACTCCGTCACATATTGGGGTTCAAGGAAATGAAAGAGCAGACCATTTAGCTAAAAGTATAGTTACAGCTGATATTGACAGGATAACCGATGTTGCAATACCACATACAGATTTATATTCAATTTTAAAGCAAGAGTTAAAAGAAGAATGGAAAATGCAATGGAATGCTGTTTTAGAGGCAGGAAAAGGTCGTTGGTATGCATCAATTAATTCAGAATTAAGTATTCCTTGGTTTTATCGCAACGATATGCGAAGATATCATAGCAGAAAATGTTATACAATAAATAATGTGCAGACTTAGATTTGGCCACTATCGACTGAACGCACAGCTTTCCAGGATGAGAATAGTAACATCTGCAACATGCAATTTCTGCGATACAGAAGCAGATCAGACTGCAGAACATATAATATTTAACTGCCCAGCGTACGCCATAGAAAGATTGCTACTCATTGAAAAACTTATACAAGTTTATGAAAACTCAGAAAGCGTCTCGCGTGCCCTGCAAGATGTTCTTAGGAATACTAAGACATATTTAGCACTTTGCAATTTTATTCATAATACTGTAAAAGAAATATGAAATATGGTATCACTGTTTTTGAAAATATTAGATTGACAAATCTACATGGATTGAAACTTACAAAGAGTATAATATAAAGAAGACTTGGCTTTAGCCATTGCAGGTTTTTGAAAATTTGAAGAATTAAAGAAAATAAGACTTGACTACGGCCTTTATGGATTTTGAAGAGATGGAAAGAAGAAAAATCAGACTTGGTTCCGGCCTTTACACTCTAAAATTCCATATATTCAAAATAAAAAAGACAAGGCTGTATGGCTTAGCTCCTTTGCCTGCTCTCTCCAGCGAATAATAAAAACAACAACTACAAACTACAAATAAAGCACAAATTATAAAGTTGAAATAAAGTAAATAATAACATACATATTATGATGTATTTGAATTTTTTGATTTCTTAGATGTGTTGCCCTATAGCGCAGAAAAATTGTTATATTTAATAAACCGACATACCTTATATAATGTTGTAATAAAATAGTTTTTAATAACGGGTCTTCTCATTAAAATTAAAGTCATGGAAACCGACGCAACTTGCATGCCTGATGATATCGAAGCTTTTGTTTCTCCATGTGAGGAACATACAGAATTAAATAACGCCGAGACAAACCAATCTGACTGTAAGAATATTCTTAATCCACAATCGGAATATGGTGAAAATAACATTACACAAGAAAAGTCTGCAAGTGTGGGTCCTGCTAGTACATATGTTGACCCCGAAGCTTTTAAAATAGGAAATGTAAATATATATGCCGAAGATATTGGACCAAAGTTGTATCCAGTTAAAGGCAATGTTGTTACACCACCTATTATAACAAAAAAACTTCCAGAGGCATTTAATTACCTCCCTATATATGGACGACCACAATCCAAAGCTGATTTGGAAGATTTTCAAAATAATAAAATAAGGGAATATGTTGGATGTGATTTTAGTGATGAAGACTTTGATAAACTTGCCAAGTATTGTAGGTATGTATGATGAATACAAAACTCACAATTTTAAATTTTTTTTTATATAGGGTGCAGCAAATATTTTGACCTCTTATGAACTATGAACATGTCCAGTAATTTATTGTTTTTTCATGAAAAATTCCATAATGCATATTGCCATTTGCTATGAATGATTTTTAAGTATAGATTTTGTTTCAACAGTTGACATAAGCTTCTCACACTGTAACCTTTATGGATTTTTTTTTATTTTTTTATAGGATAAGGGTGACAAATGAGCACACAGTCCACCTGATGGTAAGTGGTCGCTGTAGCCCATAGACATCTACATCTATCTTCGATTAAGAGTCAAAAAGCAGATGCGTTGTCACCCGTGAGGACTAAGATGGAATGCCTCGTTTCCAGTAAAAAGGGTCTTTGGTTTTCTACACTCACCATACGAAACACAGCAGCGTTAAGCTGCTATTTTAAGCTGGTATTCTGTGAGAGCGTGGTCCTTCCCTGGTCGAGCCGACCCATTCGTGCTACAACCATAATATAGATGCAGCATGGCTCTACCTGTATGCTCTGGTTTTTAGTTTTTACTCTACCTATAAGTAATTTTATTCCTATCAATGTTGTCCACTACTTCAATTATTTTGGGGTAGAGTTTTACATAATTAGTACTCAAGCTCATGTAATAAGTGCAAAAATAATTTAAGGAAACATGCTTGTCTATGCATAGAGAGAAGCGGATTCCATTTTGAGGTACCGATATTTATTTGGGACTACTTGCTTAATTTAGTTGTAAATAGCTTATTCCAATTTTTTAATACGCTATAATAATGACAGTCGTCGGTTACGTCTGTCAAACTGAACATTACGTAGTGATCGTCTCCGCATTTTAATTAGTAACAATAGTACAAAAGTGACCGATCGGAAAAAAAGTGCACTAAAAATATCGAACAAACAGTATTGATAAATTTAAACTAATAATCCTTTCGTGGGAAGTGCTAAATACAGTGAAATAACCATCGAAAGTTTGCAAAATTATTGAAGTTATTAAAAACCATAGACAAAAATTTGAAGTCCAACTACTGTCAAAACCCTCAAAAGTTGCCAGGTCAAGCCAAAACCTACCAATTTGGTAGAAAATCGGTACCAAGTATGGACGAACAAACAAAAATGCTGTTGGCCACTATAAAGGAAGAGATTGAAAAACAAAATGATAAACAAACCCAAACCATAACCGAGACTATCAGCAAAACTATTGAAGAGCAACTGTTACCAATAAAAAAGGAAAACGAAGCTATGAAGGCTGAGATTTTGCTACTAAGATCGAAAGTAAATATCTGGAACTTGAAACGTGGAAAAATAATGTCTTACTGCACGGGGTTGAAGAAACTGAAAATAACAATCTAGAATTAATGAATACTGTAATAGAACTATTCAACGTTCCCTGCACAACAGAACAAGCGGAGAAAGAGAAACACGACTGGGATAAATTGGAACTAAGCAGCATATACAGAGTTGGGAAAAAGACAGAAGGCAAGATAAGACCTATAAAAATTTCATGTACCCTAACATGGAGAAGAAACGAAATCTTGGAAAAGAAGAAAAAATTCCCAGAAGGAGTCTACGTAACAGAAGATCTGTCTAAAGAGGAACTGGAAGAAAGAAAGGCTCTTATACCAAAAATGAAGGAAGCCAGAGCATCTGGAAAGTATGCAATAATAAGGAATGGCAAACTAATAATACGAGACAAAATGGAACCTGAAAAGAGGAAGAGAGCCCAATCCACCCCACCTTCTACTCCCCCAGACAACTTCAGCAAAGCCCCTGGAGAACCCAAGTTATACCAACTTGCTAAAATGTCGAGAATCAACCCAGCAGAAAGAATGAGAAGCCAATCGAAAGCGAATATAGAGGAGACATCAAAAAACTAGAAATAGGCGGTAGTCGAAATGAAAACAGTAAAACAACGAATATCACCAAAACTAAATTAACATTCCCCAACCCGGCTGGTCCCCGTGGGGAATTAGACCACCACCCACCAATCTCAAAAAAACCAAACAAACATACACTTCTAAACAAACATACACTAGAAAACAACAACATTAACAACAAAGATAAATGTAATGCCCCCTTTAAAGAAAGTATGCAAATTGCAGCACTTAATGTTCTAACCCTAAAGTCGGACGAGAGTCTAACAGAACTAAGTAAAGCACTAAATGATATCAAATGGGACATTCTGGGTCTGAGTGAAGTAAGACGAGCTGGAGAAAACATACAAGAATACGAGGACTTCCTTCTATATCACATAGGCGAAAAAGAAGGCCAAAATGGGGTAGGATTTATTCTCAAAAAGCACATGATACAATATGTTGATGAGTTCATAGGAATTTCGGACCGTTTAGCAGTGCTAAATATAAAATTACCCAATTACGAAGATATGTGGTCTATTGTGCAAGTGTACTCTCCAACTGAACAAGCAGACAAAAAGACAATTGAAGAATTCTATGAGAATCTAAACAGTACTATAGAGAGACATACGCACAAAAACTTAATAGTGATGGGAGACTTCAACGGCCAGACAGGTGAAAGCTTGCCAGAAGAAAGACGTGTTCTTGGACCTTTTACATATGGAACTCGACGAAGCAAAAATGGAGAAAGACTCATTAATATGTCTTTCGAAAACAACCTCTATATTCTAAACAGCAAATTTAAAAAGAAAGGTTCAAGGAAATGGACATGGGTATCACCAGGAGGCAAATACAAAAATGAGATTGACTTTGTTCTCACCAACAAACCAATGTGTTTCACCGATTTAAATGTTGTGAACAAATTTAATTTCAACACGAACCATAGAATGGTCAGGGCAGATCTCACACTACGACATATAAAGACACAAAGACCCAGGAGGCACTTTGTTAGTAAGTTGAGTATTCAAAACCTAAAAGAAGCTGCAAATAAACTGACCGAAAGATTTGCAGACTTTGAGAAAGAAACCAAGAACCTAGATATTCAACAGAAATACGACTGGTTTGAGACTTCAATCAAACTAGCAAAAAGTACCTGCACTAATAAAGAAAAGAAGAAAAGCTATTTATCAATAAAAACAAAAAATCTACTCGAAGCAAGGAAACAAGTAATCAGTTCCAGAGACACAGAGAATCGTAGAAAACGCATATCAGAGCTGAGTAAAGATATAAAACAGAGTATGAGAAGGGATAGAAAACAAAACAGAAGAAAAAAAATAGAAGAGCAAATCATTAGAACAGGAGGAACAAAAAAAGCATATAAAGAACAGTCAGAATCAAAAGATTGGGTCACAAAAGTTAGAAATGAGAAAGGAATAGAACAAAATAGAAGATCAGACATAAAAGATATTGCTACATCATACTATAAACAATTATATGAGAACACACAAGAAGAACCTGGCGAATTAATAGTACTAAACGATGATGAGGATGAGAGCATACCCTATATACTGCAACGAGAGGTAGAAGTAGCATTACAGTCCCAAAGTAAAGACAAAGCCCCAGGGCCAGATGGCATTGAAAATGAAATCCTATTAATGGCAAAAAATGTCCTGTTACCAGTTATCACGAAACTATTTAATGAAATTTTCGCAAACGAAGTTATCCCGATACAATGGACGCAATCTAATATAGTATTGTTATATAAAAAGGGTGATAAACTTAATATAGGTAATTATCGCCCGATCAGCCTTATGTCCAACTTATACAAAATATTTGCGAAAATACTGCTAAGAAGACTCGAAAGAAAATTAGACGACAACCAACCAAACGAGCAAGCAGGTTTTCGTAGAGGGTACTCAGTATTGGACCACATACATGTTATGAGGCAGATTGTAGAAAAATCCCATGAATACAACCAATTATATTACATGGCATATATAGACTACAGCAAGGCTTTCGACTCTTTATTTCACAATAAGATATGGCAGGCCCTAAAAGAACAAGGTATCGAAAGCAAGTACATAAGGATACTGAGAGAGATATACAAGAAAAGTACAGCATGCATACAGTTAGAAAAGAAAGGAGAACCATTTAGCATACAAAAAGGGGTGCGACAGGGCGACCCGCTATCCCCAAAACTTTTTTCTGCGGCCCTTGAAATGATATTTAGAAGACTAAATTGGGATGGATATGGAATCAGTATCGATGGAACTTGGTTAACACATTTAAGATTCGCAGACGACATCATTCTCTTTGCAAAAACCCCACATGAACTGAATGTCATGGCAAATGATCTGGCATTAGAAAGTCACACGGTGGGATTGAAAATGAACATGGAGAAAACGAAAGTAATGACCAACGGACCTAAGAATGAAAACATCAGGGTTGGCCAAAGTGAGATAGAATACGTTGATGAATACATCTATCTGGGCCAAATGATCTCACCCACAGACAACATGGAAAAAGAAATCAACAGGAGAGTAGCTAACGGATGGAAAAGATATTGGAGCATGAAGGAAATAGTGAAAGATAAAGAACTGCACATATCCATTAAATCCAAAGTATTCAACACATGCATTCTTCCTGTATTGATGTACGGATGTCAAACATGGGCTCCTACTAAATTAAACAGTAAGAAATTAAAAATATGCCAGCATTCGATGGAGCGAAGCATGATGGGAATCAGGAAAAAGGATCGAGTCAGGTTAGAAGACATTAGGAAAAACACAAAGGTTCGGGACATAGCAACAAAAGTCAGGAAATTAAAGTGGAAATGGGCTGGGCATATGAGTAGAGGGAAGGAAAAGTGGAGCGGGAAGGTCACAGAATGGTACCCCAGGAATGGCATAAGAAAGAGGGGGAGACCCCGCCAAAGATGGGAGGACGACCTGGTCAAATTCGCGGGTGTGACTTGGAACCGGGTTGCCAAGGACAGAAACGAGTGGAAAAGGTTGGAGGAGGCCTTTGCCGATTGGCAATCAGCAGAAGACAGTGTAGATTTTATATGACTTAGATATTAAGAAATTGTATTACATACTGTTGAATAAATGGCTTTATTAT